ACTTGAATTATTATGAACTTTATAAAAGTTAAAGAGTGGGGTGGTTGGTTTGACTTTTGAGTGGAACTAATGAAATAAGGAGAAAGGTGCATTGTTTTAAAAAAGTAAGAGCCACTTGAATTGAAAAAAAAAATAGTTGTATTGCTGTTAAAAAAAATATTCCTTGATAAGTGGTGGCTCTTGATATAAGTGTGATTAAATAAGAATGGAGTTAATATATAGTGATGTGAATGTGGAGTTATGGTTTGACATAAGTGTGGGGTTTTAAATGTTAAAGTGTATGTATTAAAGTGCTTAGGGAGGTGTAGTCACTCTTATATCTAAATGTATCTTACCCGTCCCGCAGCCTACATTTCAACCAAATAAAGTCCTACTTGATCGTAGATTGAATGAGCTTGATTAGTTGAGTAGTACACTACGGGCAAGCCTATGGTGCGTCTTTTGTGGCATATGAATGTTATTTCTGAGAGTGAGTGAGTTCTTTCTATCTTGAGTTCCTGAGTGTTCTTAAATTTTATTGTGTGGAACTACTCTCGTTTGTTGTGTGAGGGTACTTGATTCATGAAGGAAAGGTAATGTCAGTGACCTCTACGTTAGAGTAAGTGGGTGAGTTGTGAATAATGCGTGGTACTTGTGAGTAAAATCTGGAGGTGAAGATGTTACGCTTTTGTACTTAGTCTATTTTAAATATTCTTGTGTGATGAGTTAGGAGAATTGCTTAAAAAGATCGTGTCTATATAAAGTGTAGTTTGATAGCTCGCAGACGAGCAATGGTTTAAGTGTGGGGTGTTGATGATAGGCTATAATTACGTATTTTAGTCGATTATTACGAGCTATGTAGATGTTATGGAACGAATTAAAGTGATTTGGAGCTTTGAAGTCTGAGTAAAAGCCCAAGAAATTAAGCCGGGATCATGTTCGGGGATCAACGGATGATCCCACAATATATGATTGGAAAACTAATTCAAAGGGCTACAACTTTCATGCTTTATGTATTTCCAAATTCCAAACGGTATGTGGTCAGGTCCGCGGTCAAATCCGCGGCCGCGGACAGAACACTATGCAAATCCGCGGTCAGGTCCGCGGCCGCGGACTCCCTGACCTGGAAAAGTGTCCTTTTTAGCGTAGGAGATGGTATAATTGTTTGAACCCGACCCTACTTGATATATATACACATGGAAAACTAGTATTTTGAGCACCTTGGACATACTTTTGACATAATTTAGACCTAAGGGGGCTAAGGAGACCGGAGATTCGACCTAAGGAGGCAAGAACACACTAGGAGCAAGGCGGAGAATTCTTCTACGAGTTTTTCACTTCCTTCTTCCTATTTTCATTATTGGTTATGAATTCTAGTATTGTAGTTTTACATACTATTATGAATAGCTAATTTGTTATCTAGGATTTTTATGGAACCTATTGGAGGATGATTTTCATGCTACGTTAATATAGATTTGCTGTAGTATTTTCTCTATTTGTTCAACTATGTTATTATTGTGGTGGGTTGAAGAGCTCTCAATCGATTGTGCCTATTTAGTGTGTATTACTCGGGAGAGAGTGCATATTTAGAATGTTGTTGAACAACATCACTCCTAACGTATATGAGGGATCAATACGGAGGTTTTAAAGGTGGGATTAGGGATAACGAAACCTTGGGTACGATCCGAGTGAGCGTACTTAATGCCAGCTAGCTAGTAAATTGTGGTAATTACTCGGGTGAGAATTACGACAGTCAGAGCGCTCATGATCGGTAGAGAATACTTAGGCGAATTTATAGAAAACGTAGCGGGAAGGATACCGACAATTGGGGAAATCATAACTCTAGACCTCCTTAATGTTGTCTCTAACCCTTAGTATCTTTAGTTGTTAATTTACTATTTTTGTTAGTTAATTAGTTAAACACAAGAATCTTAATATCTATAAGTTAGAAATTGTTCAAGCTTGTCTTCTTAGCATTAAGCTAAGCCTTAATTCTCTGTGGGGTTCGACTCCGGACTTATAAACCGGATTATATTTGCAACGACCGCTTAGTCCTTTTAATAAGGCATAGTTGGGCGTGATCAATTGTCATGACATATCTAGTATTTTGTATTATTTTCTTGAAAAATACCTTATATAGTTGTATCTTACTAGGATAAAAAAAATATTTGGAGCACAAGTTATATGTTTTGTGCTACGAAGATTTTACCAAAGAAAAAATCGAAAAAATCCGAATAACGCGAAAACCCGAGAAAAATCGAGATAGAAAAACCTGAGTTTATTGATTTGGTTTGGTCTTTAGATTTAATAACCGACACAATTGATTTGGTTTGGTAGGTGAAAGTAATTTAGGACAATATCGTTAATGAACATCAAGAAAATCGAGCAAATGGTAAAAATGGTAACGGTGAGTCTGGAGGTGAAAATGTGGTCGATATTCTACTACAGGTCATGGAGAGTGGGGAATTTGGAACGCCAATCACCAACTAGAATATCAAAGCAGTTATTTTGCTTATGTGAACAGTAAATAATGAGCAATATGTCAAGGGCAATAAAATCTTATATTCAAACGTTGTTTTCTCCTGGATAGCACGCCCGCACGGCTCTAACTTGAAAAAGAATAAGAAAAAAGAAAATTTTTCGAAATAATAGCAGATTTATATTTTGTCAAGATTAGTGTACCTTGAATATACTACTAGTATTGTTAACTTTTTTATTTTCGCTGAGTGAAAGAGGACCCTGTAGAAACTACATATTGTCAAGATTGTGTGCTTGAATTGATTATTTAAAGGAAAAATGACAAAAAATAACAAAGTCTACAATGGTGGCAGAGACGAGAAAAGAAAATGTTGTTTGACGGACTAACGACATATAATAACAAATTTAACAATGGGGCGGAATCGAGAGAAAAAACTTGTGGCAGGAAATTCATGGCACATCAATCTTTATAAATCTAATGGTCCATCTGTACCCACATGTCGCATTGCTGGCTTACATCAAAAGTTGGTCATAAAATGATGGAACCATTATTGAGTCAACATGGTCTTCTTTGGAAAGTAATTAAGGGTGTATTTGGTATGGATTCAATTTTTTATTTTGATTGGCTTAAATATTTTGGAAAATATATCAAGTTGACACATGGACTTAATTACATGCTGACATGTCAAAACACTTGGATCAATAAAAGAATGACAGCTGGCAAAGAATAGTTGAAGAGACACGAGCCTTAATAGGCACGGGCAGAGGTTTAAGAAAACATGAAGGAACGGTTACTCGGACCTCTTGGTAATTTGAAGAGACCTCGGAGGAATGAACCTAGATAGCAAAAAGTGCAGATACGTATTACCGTAATTAATGAGCATCAATGATGGGAAACGTTACAGAATCTTCACGAAACAGTTACGATTGCTAATTATAACGTTATATTAAATGTCATTAATTGCTCATAATGGCTCTATTATGTGATGAAAGAAAACGTATACTTAGAGATAGCTATAAAAGGAGAGATATAACATTTGTAAGAACACAGAATATTATTGGAATACACCGATTTACTTTGCTTTCTTTTACTCAGCTAACGTTTTTTTCAATTCTTCTTATTTGTTCCGAATTTGATTATCAGTAACCCGAGTTCTTCTAAAAATTAAGCTTTGACCCGAATTTCCTATTTTCTGGTTAAACAAATTGGTTCCGTTACCGAGAATCTGATAATCTATTACTTTCTAAATCGACTTTTTTGTCAAATCAATCATGTCGAATGTCAATGATAACAATCAAGGAGACCGTCAACACCGGGAGAATCTGCAAGGCGATGGAACTCCGGTCCCTTCCCCACGAAATTCTCCTCGACAATCTCGAGAAGGAACTCCTGATGGATCTCAGTCAAATGTGAATGATCAGTTTGAAAATGATGAGGCTATTAATGAAGCTTTGAAAAAGTTAATCACTCAATAGGTCAGCAATGCTCTTGAGGCCTTCGCTAACCAGCTGCCAGTTGTGCCGCCAACATCAACTCTAAACACAACACCTTAGAAAATCCTCGCTCAAGACTCGTTAACTCGGGCAGTGGAGGAACTCCTAGCGAATCCCGTGATGGAGGGTCAGGAAACCAGTTAATTCTGATTTACAAACTTTAGTACTAACTTTGCAGAAACAGCTCGGGCAGTGGAGGAACTCCTAGAGAATACCTGGAGTGCCGCCTGTAATCAAGGAATAGATATGGACAAATACTCACAACAACCTTGGAAGCCAAGTGCTGCTCCTCTACCAATTCCGAAAAAATTCAATATGCCCGATATTCCAAAATATGATGGAACAACTGATCCAAGGGATCATGTAATTGCATTCATAACCGGTGTNCAAGAAACATGTGTGTTCCTATTTCTTTTTTCATATGTTTACACCATTATGAAGTTGAGACGTCTTCTTCATTAAGTGCCGTATATAAAAGGGCCCTCTTTTATAAATTCATGTTCGATTCAAAGATCCATGAAGTTAATAAAGCATTTCTAAAAATGCAAAAAGTCAAAAGGGTAAGACAATAACCCACGAATTAAAAACCAAGACCTTGGACTTATAAAAAACAAGGCAAAAAGAGTGAAACTGAAACTCGAGAGAATTGAGTTGAAATGGAAACTTTATAATATTAAGTTTAAACTAAGTAGGAACTTAGTCATAAACTGATTGTCATTTTTACAAAAAAGCCCCGAAAAGACCTGGGTACTTGTCATCACCAAAAACATAACCCCCAAATGGGACCAGGGGTAAAACCACCACAAATTACACCAAAAAAAAAAGAAAAAGAGTCAAATTTCACAAGTAAACTTTCACTGTGGAGCGGGAGAAGGGTTCAAAACAGCATCATCAGTAACACAATGCTCGACTTGGTCTGAAGGAGCTGGGACATCCATCGCACTAGGGTCAGCTTCAACGTGCTCGGGAGTATCGGCCATAGGAGAAGAAAAACCTTGGCCTTGGTGAGTTTTCTCAATGGTTTCTTTTATCTTAGCTAACTCAGCATCCTAGTTAAAACCCTCTTGGCTAGCCTCCACAAGGGTATCATGGCTCGTATTCAAAATAGCCCAACTCACTTCAATAGAAGCTTTGTCCTCAAGAGCCTCATAATCTCTTTCCCATTGATCAATTTCACTCTTGAACTCCTCCCTCTCAGCCAAAGCAGCATCATAAGAAGATTGCAAAGGGGCAAGCGAGCTCTCCAAAAATTTGACCTTATCAGAAGACACACGAAGATCTTCTTGGGCCTGGGTGAGTGTTTGAACAAGTTCACCTGCATAAACTTCTTTTTCGTTTAACAAGGCCTTCAAACCTCTGATCTCTTCGGTGGCTTTGGAGATTTGTTCGGCAAATGATGACTCGAGGAAATTTTTATCCTTGCCTGCCTGATTGGAAGAAGCTTTTTCAACTGCCAACTCCGAAGTCACAATCTTCAACTGTTGCTCTAAGGTACATTTGTTTTCTTCTAAAACTTCCATTTCAAGTTGAAGACTGTCATACTGCTCTTTCCAGTTATCTGCCTCGGTCTGGTAATCATGTATCAATTGTTCCGTCTGGGAAACCCTTTTCATCATCTCCGTGCCGACGAGATTGATCTAAAGAAAAAAGGGGAATACATAAGAATCTTAGTAAAAGAAAAAAAATGATATATAATATGAAAAGAAATTTATACCTTCAACGATGATTGCACGAGATCATTCATCCAAGTCAGAGAACTATGACTTTCCAGCTTGGATTTTTCAACTGGACCAATCAGGGGTTTCAACCACACGACAGCTTGACCTGACTACTTTAGAAGATTACCTTCGACAGGGACCTCAATGGTAATTTGTTTCATCACTCTACCCCCACTTGAAGAACCAACTTCGGTCCGAAAAACATTCGTAGTGGGGACTGTAGAGGAAGTCATAATGGCTTGAGGCGGAGCAGAAACAGTAGCAGTAAAAATTGGCAAAGAATGTTCCATAGGGACAGACACAGGAAAGGAGGCAAGAGGTACTTCATCAGACACCAAATCGAAACTTTCACTATCAAACCCACGAGAAAAAAGTTGTTTATCAGAGTCATGAGCTGCCATAGGAGTATCATCGTCAGAACTCACTAAGGTGGCTTCAACAGACTCGGTCACGGGAATAGAACGGGGAGGAGTAACTTCATCATCTAAATAACGCGCCTTCTAACTCGCGGCCTTTTAACCAAGGAACTCTCATCCTGTTCCTCTTCCTCTTCAGAATCTTGGGGTTGGGCAGCTTTCCTTTTCGATGAAGAACTCAGGCTTATCTCCTGAGCTCTTGCCAAAGAAAGTCTGGAAGCTATGATCGAATCGACACTTACACCACGAATAGGAAACCCTGATAAAAAGAAGGGCCAAATACATTCCAAGGGAAGAATGAATGAAAATGGAAAAATAGAAGGTAAAGTACTTACCATGAGTTTTAACCTTCCAACCAAACCTGTTTGAAAGGTATTTCCAAGATCTACCCTCCATCGGAGCAATAGTCAACAATTTCTCTACCCAACCACGGAAATTAGGAATCTCTTCATGAGTTCCCATGGTTGCTGAAAAAAGAGAAAGTTAAACAGCCACGGGAAAAACAAACCCCTTCAAAGCGAAAAAGGGGGAAAGAAGAAGAGAGAAAGTTGTAAAAGTAAACTTACCTGCAAAATTCCACTTTTCGGGGAATGGTATATTTTCTTCACCTACTAACCCTACAGTAGGAGCAGCAACAAATCTGGCATACCAGCCACGGTCCTTGTTGTCCTCAGGGCTGACTAAAACCCTCTTACTTCTCGCTACCGAAGTAAAGATCCCATGTCGGAACAGCTTAGGGGAGTATAGGTGGATCAGATGAAAAAAGGTAAAAGGCAATTTAGCCAAGTTAGCTAATTACCTTAGACAAGCAACATCCCTCCATACAATGGGGCCAATTTGTCCTAGACAAACATTGAAAAAATGACAGAACTCGATGATAACAGGATCAATAGGAGGTCTAAAATTCAGTGTAAAAGGATATGTATACACGAAAGAAAATCCAGTCATGTAGGATGTGATCCTTTGATTTGCATTAGGATTAGGAATTATGATGGGGAAGTCAGATCTCCAATGGCATTCCCTACAGACAACAGAGATTAAACCCTCGATAATTTGAGAAGGGTAAATATCAGCACTATCAAGAGAGGACATAGAGAAAATCTGATTCCTAATCGATTCCCTATCAGAGTAAAAAGAAACTTCAGAGGGGGTAATGTCGTCTACTAAGGGTTCACGAACCGGTTCATTAGAGTCTCTACTTCTAGAAGAAGCTCTATGTGGAAGAGAACCCCTGGTTATAGAAGAAGAAGGAGGAGTGGAACTAGGTAAAGATGAAGGCGAACCTCGAATGGACGTTGATCCTAAGCTACGTAACCTACCTCATCTCCTGCTCCTAGTTGGAGCAAGAGGAAGTTCATCTACAATAAGAACTTTACGAGGATCAGGGTTTGAAGAAGACATGGCTAAACAAGGAAGAAAACAAGAATGAATGTTCAAAGATAGGAAACTTTTATGAGAAAGACAAGACAAAAGTTATATTTATACTCAGAAGCAATCGTCAAACAAAGAAGGTAATGATGGGAACGTCATAATGAAAATTGTCACTTCGTGATTGATGCAGCCGCAAAAAAAGCCCTAAAAGACGCTGAAGGGTGGCAGACCCAATCAAAAGACGTCACGTGTAACGAGCATTAAATGGAAGTGACATACGAAGCGTCAGTTCTGAAGAAGGTATAATGGCGGCAAAAATTCCTGCTTTAATGAGATCCACTTCCCAAATATTCAATTGTTGAATAAATAGCAAGTGTGAGGACTATATGTATTGGGAAAAATCAAGTTAACACATGGAATTAATTACATGCTGACATGTCAAGACACTTGTATCAATAAAAGAGTGACAGCTGGCAAAGAATAGTTGAAGAGACACGAGCCTTAACAGGCACGGGCAGAGGTTCAAGAAAACAGGAAGGAACGGTTACTCGGACCTCTTGGTAATTTGAAGAGACATCGGAGGAATGAACCTAGATAGCAAAACGTGCAGATACGTATTATCCGTAATTAATGAGCATCAATGATGGGAAACGTTACAGAATCTTCACGAAACAGTTACGATTGCTAATTATAACGTTATATTAAATGTCATTAATTGCTCATAATAGCTCTATTATGAGAGAAAAGAAAACGTATTACTTAAAGATAGCTATAAAAGCAGAGATATAACATTTGTAAGGACATGGAATATTATTGGAATACACTGATTTACTTTGCTTTCTTTTACTCAGCTATCGTTTATTTCAATTCTTCTTATTTGTTTCGAATTTGATTATCAGTAACCCGAGTTCTTCTAAAAATTAAGCTTTGACCCGAATTTCCTATTTTCTGGTTAAATAGTGAAGAAGACAAATATTTTCCCTATCAAAAGAAGGGAAAATATTTTTCAAAACTCTTTTTCAACCTACTCCATCATATTCCCCATCCCCACCCCGCCCTCGCCCCCGCCTCCTCCCCCACCTACCCCACCACACCCAACCCACCCCCACCCCTCATGCATCCACCACCCAACCCCTACCACCACACCACCCAATCACACCCTAAAATAGAAATATTATTTAGAGTATTTCCTTTTTCATCTCAACAGAATGAGTATTTTCTTTTTATGATGCAGTAAAAGTATTTTCTTTCATTTCAACAAAATGAATATTTATCATGGTGTGGAAAAAATATTTTTTTCGTTTCAACAAAATGAGTATTTTTTTTCATGTTGTAGAAAAAATATTTTCTTTAATTTCAATAAAATGAGTATTTTCTTTTCATGTTGTACAAAAAGTACTTTTGTTTTATTTCAACAAGAAAAAGAGCATTTTCTTTTTGGTTATGGAACTCAAATTTCAACGTTGTTCTTGTGTAAAAAAATAAAATAGCATACTAGTTCATTTGGGTTTGTGCGAATTTTTAAAAGAATAATTAAATTCTTGAAGAAATTAGAGTCCTAAAAATATTGGGTATTTGTGGGGGGGGGGGAGCACAGGAAACATAGGGATTTGGCGGGGGGGAGGGGGAGCACAGGGAAACATAGGGATTTGGGAGGGGGGGGGGGGAAGGGATAGGTAAGGAGAGTAGCATAGAAAATTATTTTCTTATAAAATATTTTCTACTCTCTAACCAAACACTAGAAAGTATTTTCCGGAAAAAGTTTTTTACTCCCCAACCAAATATGAAAAATAAACGATAAAACCACTCATTTTCCAAGGAAAACATTTTCCTTCATAGCAAACACACTCTAAGTGTCTATTTTCTCGGGATTTTTACACAAATAGTCGTTCATATTCACCGTTTACTTTTTCTAGCCATATACATTGTTTATACATTGATGATACACAACTATACACATATAAATCATAAATTATATATAATATTATACCTCCACCGACTATTTTTAATTTAAACGGTTGGGTGAGCGGCTATTTGAGTTAATTCTTCTATTCTCATCAGTTGAGTATAGTAGTAAGCTTCTTAAAAAAGAAAAGTATTACAACAAGTTTTACTCTTCAATCATTCCCTAATCTATATTATTATAAAAGTGGAAAGCCCTTAACTAAAAAGTTAAATTACTTAAATACCCTTCTAAGTAAATTAAATTTTTATATTTATAAAATAATTGAATAAAAATACTAAAATTATTTGAAAGGATGTAACCCTTCATATTAATTTCTAACGGACGGTTCTAATTATTTTCAAACACACTTGATGCCTTTTCAAGTAGAAAAGGAAACTACTGGATCACTTTAAACTCGGAAAACCTATTCCTATCAGGCACAAATTTTTTTTTTTTTTTGGTAATTGAACTTTTTCATTACCAGGAAAAATATTTACAAGTAAATCAAACCCTTAAAAGTTATCCTGCTTTCTATACTTCACCCCTCCCCATTTCCTATTATTTACACATTGCCTACCTATTTCATTAGGTACCAATCAAGTCTATGTAGTATTTTCAATGTATGCCTACTACTTCGACAATGAAGCTCTTGTATAATCTTCTTACATATTAGTTCCCACCCTTTCACCTTAGCTTGAAAAGTTCGAGCATTCCTTTCTTGCCGCACATAGTACACTGTTTCTGCCAGTGCCATCTTGTATAACTCAGCAGCTGCTGTTTTCCTCTTGGTCCGCTTCTCAGCCCATCGTAGTTCCTCATCCCAGCCATTTACTGATCTTTTAATCCCTTGCCATGCTAACAGTGTGCTCCATAATGTATTTGCATATGAGCATTCAAAGAACAAGTGCTGTATGGATTCATTGGCTTGCTTGCATAGAACACATTCTTGATCTACTTGCATTCCTTAACTCTGTAGTCTATCTCTTGTGTATAATTTCCATGTGCTACCATAGTTAGTATAAAGGTCCACCTGGGGCATCCTGTGTTGTGGCAGACGACTCTTCTCCAACTAACTTTATCAAATCTTCCTCGCAGTTTGTGGTATATGATTTTGATCGAACATTTATTCATCTTCATGATGTCATCATAACTAAAGCCTACTTCCATAAATGTCTTCTTTGCCTTCATTATTTTGCTTACCATCCAAGATGTTTGTTTCAGTTGAACATCCCATATGTGTCTGTCTTTGATGTAGTAACTATGCATCCACTGTATCCATAACTTCTTCTTTTCTTTGCACAAATTCCAGTATTGTTTACATATTGCTGCTTTGTTCCAGATGGTTATGTTCATAATATTGAATCCCCCAGCAGACTTAGGTAGACAAACTTTCTCCCATGCCAATAGAGCCTTCTTTGAAACACTCCCTTCTCCTGTCCACAAAAAACTCCTGCATATTGCTTCAATTAGCTTTGTGATTTTTTTAGGGAGCACAAAGATTTGTGCCCAGTAGGTCTGAATAGAGAACAGAACACTCTTTATCAGTTGAATCCTTCCAGCATAGGATAGAAACTTGGTGTCACACCTCCTTTTTTACACACCTACCCCGAAGGATAGTGTATAAGGCAGTTTTTTCACTTTAAGTGACATTATTCGAATTGGGATTATT